ATATATATATACGTATGTAAAAGCAGTATATATATATATTAGCAAAGAAGTAATAATGACAGTGCAAGCAAAGGAATTGGTCAAACTTTCAAGGCAGTCCGCCCTTTTTTCAAGACAGCAGCATGAACACTTAGTTATCACAACATTATAACAAAACGATGAACAGCCAGTTATCACAACATTATAACAAAACGATTAACAGCCACTATAAACAATACTACATGTTTTGTACAACATAAAATACATAAAAAAAACCCAAGTTATTTCTCATGGAATATACAAATGTTATCTTTAAGTAATATGTATCCAACACACATTTGCTTGTTCCAATCCAGTGTCAATATATTGGATCATACAGCTGTCATTATCACTTAAGAGGCTTATACTTATAGATTTATATTTATGTATCAAATAGAACTAAAATATGATATGACCTGTTTAAATATGATATGACCTGTTTAAATATGATATGACCTGTTTAAATATGAGTTGTAAATCTAAGTAAAATGTAAAGATCACAGAGATTCAAACCATCAGAAATTGTAATGATGTAATTGTGATTATAGTATTTGCTTGGCTGAATTATTACAATGGTAGTATCAGATTTTAATCAAATACACTGGGATGACAGGGAAAAACTTTTATTATTCTGAATTGTACAATAAATGGGTCATATTTCATAGATCTGTATTTTCATTTGGCGTGGCTATACCCTTCTATAGCTGTTGTATGACGAGGTTCCTCTAGGAGAGTATTACATTAGTGTAGATGCTGTTTGTATGACGAGGTTCCTCTAGGAGAGTGTAACATTAGTGTATCTGCTGTTTGTATGACGAGGTTCCTCTAGTAGAGTATAACAGTTAGTGTAGCTGCTGTTTGTATGACTAGGTCCCTCTAGGAGAGTATACCAATTAGTGTAGCTGCTGTTTGTATGACTAGAGTATAACAGTTAGCGTATCTGCTGTTTGTATGACGAGGTTCCTCTAGGAGAGTATAACAGTCAGTTTAGCTGCTGTTTGTATGACGAGGTTCCTCTAGGAGAGTATAACAGTTAGTGTAGCTGCTGTTTGTATGACGTGGTCCCTTTAGGAGAGTATAACAGTTAGTGTAGCTGCTGTTTGTATGACGAGGTTCCTCTAGGAGAGTATAACAGTTAGTGTAGCTGCTGTTTGTATGACGAGGTTCCTCTAGGAGAGTATAACAGTTAGTGTAGCTGCTGTTTGTATGACGAGGTTCCTCTAGGAGAGTATAACAGTTAGTGTAGCTGCTGTTTGTATGACGAGGTTCCTCTAGGAGAGTATAACAGTTAGTGTAGCTGCTGTTTGTATGACGAGGTTCCTCTAGGAGAGTATAACAGTTAGTGTAGCTGCTGTTTGTATGACGAGGTTCCTCTAGGAGAGTATAACAGTTAGTGTAGCTGCTGTTTGTATGACGAGGTTCCTCTAGGAGAGTATAACAGTTAGTGTAGCTGCTGTTTGTATGACGAGGTTCCTCTAGGAGAGTATAACAGTTAGTGTAGCTGCTGTTTGTATGACGAGGTTCCTCTAGGAGAGTATAACAGTTAGTGTAGCTGCTGTTTGTATGACGAGGTTCCTCTAGGAGAGTATAACAGTTAGTGTAGCTGCTGTTTGTATGACGAGGTTCCTCTAGGAGAGTATAACAGTTAGTGTAGCTGCTGTTTGTATGACGAGGTTCCTCTAGGAGAGTATAACAGTTAGTGTAGCTGCTGTTTGTATGACGAGGTTCCTCTAGGAGAGTATAACAGTTAGTGTAGCTGCTGTTTGTATGACGAGGTTCCTCTAGGAGAGTATAACAGTTAGTGTAGCTGCTGTTTGTATGACGAGGTTCCTCTAGGAGAGTATAACAGTTAGTGTAGCTGCTGTTTGTATGACGAGGTTCCTCTAGGAGAGTATAACAGTTAGTGTAGCTGCTGTTTGTATGACGAGGTTCCTCTAGGAGAGTATAACAGTTAGTGTAGCTGCTGTTTGTATGACGAGGTTCCTCTAGGAGAGTATAACAGTTAGTGTAGCTGCTGTTTGTATGACGAGGTTCCTCTAGGAGAGTATAACAGTTAGTGTAGCTGCTGTTTGTATGACGAGGTTCCTCTAGGAGAGTATAACAGTTAGTGTAGCTGCTGTTTGTATGACGAGGTTCCTCTAGGAGAGTATAACAGTTAGTGTAGCTGCTGTTTGTATGACGAGGTTCCTCTAGGAGAGTATAACAGTTAGTGTAGCTGCTGTTTGTATGACGAGGTTCCTCTAGGAGAGTATAACAGTTAGTGTAGCTGCTGTTTGTATGACGAGGTTCCTCTAGGAGAGTATAACAGTTAGTGTAGCTGCTGTTTGTATGACGAGGTTCCTCTAGGAGAGTATAACAGTTAGTGTAGCTGCTGTTTGTATGACGAGGTTCCTCTAGGAGAGTATAACAGTTAGTGTAGCTGCTGTTTGTATGACGAGGTTCCTCTAGGAGAGTATAACAGTTAGTGTAGCTGCTGTTTGTATGACGAGGTTCCTCTAGGAGAGTATAACAGTTAGTGTAGCTGCTGTTTGTATGACGAGGTTCCTCTAGGAGAGTATAACAGTTAGTGTAGCTGCTGTTTGTATGACGAGGTTCCTCTAGGAGAGTATAACAGTTAGTGTAGCTGCTGTTTGTATGACGAGGTTCCTCTAGGAGAGTATAACAGTTAGTGTAGCTGCTGTTTGTATGACGAGGTTCCTCTAGGAGAGTATAACAGTTAGTGTAGCTGCTGTTTGTATGACGAGGTTCCTCTAGGAGAGTATAACAGTTAGTGTAGCTGCTGTTTGTATGACGAGGTTCCTCTAGGAGAGTATAACAGTTAGTGTAGCTGCTGTTTGTATGACGAGGTTCCTCTAGGAGAGTATAACAGTTAGTGTAGCTGCTGTTTGTATGACGAGGTTCCTCTAGGAGAGTATAACAGTTAGTGTAGCTGCTGTTTGTATGACGAGGTTCCTCTAGGAGAGTATAACAGTTAGTGTAGCTGCTGTTTGTATGACGAGGTTCCTCTAGGAGAGTATAACAGTTAGTGTAGCTGCTGTTTGTATGACGAGGTTCCTCTAGGAGAGTATAACAGTTAGTGTAGCTGCTGTTTGTATGACGAGGTTCCTCTAGGAGAGTATAACAGTTAGTGTAGCTGCTGTTTGTATGACGAGGTTCCTCTAGGAGAGTATAACAGTTAGTGTAGCTGCTGTTTGTATGACGAGGTTCCTCTAGGAGAGTATAACAGTTAGTGTAGCTGCTGTTTGTATGACGAGGTTCCTCTAGGAGAGTATAACAGTTAGTGTGTAGCTGCTGTTTGTATGACGAGGTCCCTCTAGGAGAGTATAACAGTTAGTGTAGCTGCTGTTTGTATGACGAGGTTCCTCTAGGAGAGTATAACAGTTAGTGTAGCTGCTGTTTGTATAAAGAGGTTCCTCTAGGAGAGTATAGTATTAGTGTAGCTGCTGTTTGTATGATGAGGTTCCTATAGGAGAGTATAACATTAGTGTAGATACGTTGCAGGGGTTTGACTCCCTGAGTCATTGTGAAAGGGTATAGGGTCACCTGTATCATAATGTTGTTTAGGGTCACCTGTATCATAATGTTGTATAGGGTCACCTGTATCATAATGTTGTTTAGGGTCACCTGTATCATAATGTTATATAGGGTCACCTGTATCATAATGTTGTATGGGGTCACCTGTATCATAATGTTGTATAGGGTCACCTGTATATTAATGTTGTATAGGGTCACCTGTATCATAATGTTGTATAGGGTCACCTGTATCATAATGTTGTATGGGGTCACCTGTATCATAATGTTGTATGGGGTCACTTGTATCATTATGTTGTATGGGGTCACCTGTATCATAATGTTGTATGGGGTCACCTGTATCATAATGTTGTATGGGGTCACCTGTATCATAATGTTGTATGGGGTCACCTGTATCATAATGTTGTATGGGGTCACCTGTATCATAATGTTGTATGGGGTCACCTGTATCATAATGTTGTATGGGGTCACCTGTATCATAATGTTGTATGGGGTCACCTGTATCATAATGTTGTATGGGGTCACCTGTATCATAATGTTGTATGGGGTCACCTGTATCATAATGTTGTATGGGGTCACCTGTATCATAATGTTGTATGGGGTCACCTGTATCATAATGTTGTATGGGGTCACCTGTATCATAATGTTGTATGGGGTCACCTGTATCATAATGTTGTATGGGGTCACCTGTATCATAATGTTGTATGGGGTCACCTGTATCATAATGTTGTATGGGGTCACCTGTATCATAATGTTGTATGGGGTCACCTGTATCATAATGTTGTATAGGGTCACCTGTATCATAATGTTGTATAGGGTCACCTGTATCATAATGTTGTATGGGGTCACTTGTATCATAATGTTGTATGGGGTCGCCTGTATCATAATGTTGTATGGGGTCACCATGCAATACTCACTAACCTATGATTATACTGTGTTAAGACATGTTTAGTATTAGATATGATACATTAACTAAATACATAGTCGATTTAATACTTGATACAAATTGTGAAGTTAAGTGTTTCCTGAAAATGATCCCCCAGGATTTTAGGTCATCTGAGACAAAGTTTAAATCACCTAATATGATTGCCTTTGATCACCCATTGTCCATCAGTAGACAAGTCACTTTTTTTACTTCTTCTCCATTACCTGAACAGATGTAAATTTTACATGAAGGTTCCATGGCCAAAGACATAATTTATTTTATATTTTTATTATATGGATCTAGAATGAAGGTGAATTTATCATGACCGTGACTACTGGTACATTGTATACCAGATACTTACAGTGTTAAAACTCAGGGGCAACACTGGATATTACAGGGGAATTAGGGCAAAACTTTGGCAGTATGTAATATCAGCTCATAATTTGGTCAGAATATTTGTAGCTCAAAGTAAGGATGATGCTGAGAATTTTGACATTAATAGACTTGTGACCCCTTATTGGTACAGGTACCGAGCAGTCCACCGCCTTTGGCTGCACCCATAGCCCGCCGACTCAGCGTCAGCGCAAGTGTAGCAGGTGAAGAAGGCTTGATGAGCTGTGTGCTGCCTGAGGATCTACTAGTTGACATCATCTCTGAGAGATTACAGGTAGGTGTTACTATCATCTCTGAGAGATTACAGGTAGGTGTTACTCAACACATTCAATCTCGCCATGACTTCTACACCATAAAATATATCTTCATCAAACTTTAAGTTTTGACCTACATCATCCCCAGAAGGAGTGTACGATCATAAACAGGATGAAACTAGAAATATTGTACCTGCAACAACCACAAATGTGTTGAGACAGAATGAAATTAATAATGATAATTAATTTTTAATGGCTTCTTTAACCTTTCTATCATTTTATTCCAAAAATGGCAAAAAATTCCCAAGCAAATATGCATATTGGATGAAAATGGGGACATGTGTTTGTTAAAAACTAAATTCCTGTCTGTGTATATACAGCAGTATCTACTTTTTGTAGCTGAATGACTGCCATCGTGGTGTTGTACTGGACGGCCTGGAAACATTATTTGCCCAGAATCTTCATACTGCTGCCAACGTTATCCTGAAGGCACTCAATAATAGACGCTTCATTTACTTTTTAACTCTTAAACTCGACTACTGTGTACTGAAGGAACAGGAGAAAAAAGCCCAGGAGGAAAATGGTAGGTAACACACGCACTAATGGTAGGTAACACACACACTGATGGTAGGTAAAACACACACTGATGGTAGGTAAAACACTGATGGTAGGTAAAACACTGATGGTAGGTAAAACACACACTGATGGTAGGTAAAACACTGATGGTAGGTAAAACACTGATGGTAGGTAAAACACACTGATGGTAGGTAAAACACACACTGATGGTAGGTAAAACACACACTGATGGTAGGTAACACACGCACTAATGGTAGGTAAAACACACACTGATGGTAGGTAAAACACTGATGGTAGGTAAAACACTGATGGTAGGTAAAACACACACTGATGGTAGGTAAAACACTGATGGTAGGTAAAACACTGATGGTAGGTAAAACACACACTGATGGTAGGTAAAACACACACTGATGGTAGGTAAAACACACACTGATGGTAGGTAAAACACACACTGATGGTAGGTAAAACACACACTGATTGTAGGTCACTACAGCACATACATGTATTAGTTGTTTGAAGAATTCTACTTTACAATAAAAACATCATGAATATAGATCAAAGCCTAATGTGATTCCAATTGTGGTATGCTATTAAACTGTATGGGAATTTTTCTGCTAAAGGACAGGTTGGTTCTTATTTTTTTAGGTCACCTGAGCTTTGCTCAAGTGACCTATTCCAATCGCTTTTCGTCCGTCGTCGTCCGTCGTCCGTCCTGCGTCGTGCGTCGTGCGTCGTGCGTAAACTTTTACATTTTCAACTTTTCAAACTTGGTCAGAATCATCCTTGGTAGATGAGGCTTCAAAATTGTAAAATTGGGATTCCTACCCCCACCCCTGGGGCCAGGGCGGGCCCCAAAGAGAAAATTATCCAATATTTCAAAAATCTTCTTCTCCAGACTCACAGGTACTACAGTGATTTTCTCTACGTGGAAAGAAAGATCATCAGGCGCTTTACTTAAATTGTAAATTTCAGGACCCCCGAGCTATCCGTTCTCCCTTGGGGAGGGGGTAAAGTTTACTATAGTTTATATAGGGAAATAACACTTTTGGGTATATTTTGACAACTTTCTGTAGGAAATTATTTTTACTTGGTGAGAATTATCCTTGGAGGTAGATGGTTTCAAATTGTAAAATTGAGATTCCTACCCCGACCCCTGGGGCCAGGGCGGGGCCCCAAAGGGAAAATTAATCAATATTTCAAAAATCTTCTTCTCCAGACTCAGAGGTACTACAGTGATTTTCTCTACGTGGAAAGAAAGATCATCAGGGGCTTTACTTAAATTGTAAATTTCAGGACCCCCGAGCTATCCGTTCTCCCTTGGGGAGGGGGTAAAGTTTACTATAGTTTATATAGGGAAATAACACTTTTGGGTATATTTTGACAACTTTCTGTAGGAAATTATTTTTACTTGGTGAGAATTATCCTTGGAGGTAGATGGTTTCAAATTGTAAAATTGAGATTCCTACCCCGACCCCTGGGGCCAGGGCGGGGCCCCAAAGGGAAAATTAATCAATATTTCAAAAATCTTCTTCTCCAGACTCAGAGGTACTACAGTGATTTTCTCTACGTGGAAAGAAAGATCATCAGGGGCTTTACTTAAATTGTAAATTTCAGGACCCCCGAGCTATCCGTTCTCCCTTGGGGAGGGGGTAAAGTTTACTATAGTTTATATAGGGAAATAACACTTTTGGGTATATTTTGACAACTTTCTGTAGGAAATTATTTTTACTTGGTGAGAATTATCCTTGGAGGTAGATGGTTTCAAATTGTAAAATTGAGATTCCTACCCCGACCCCTGGGGCCAGGGCGGGGCCCCAAAGGGAAAATTAATCAATATTTCAAAAATCTTCTTCTCCAGACTCAGAGGTACTACAGTGATTTTCTCTACGTGGAAAGAAAGATCATCAGGGGCTTTACTTAAATTGTAAATTTCAGGACCCCCGAGCTATCCGTTCTCCCTTGGGGAGGGGGTAAAGTTTACTATAGTTTATATAGGGAAATAACACTTTTGGGTATATTTTGACAACTTTCTGTAGGAAATTATTTTTACTTGGTGAGAATTATCCTTGGAGGTAGATGGTTTCAAATTGTAAAATTGAGATTCCTACCCCGACCCCTGGGGCCAGGGCGGGGCCCCAAAGGGAAAATTAATCAATATTTCAAAAATCTTCTTCTCCAGACTCAGAGGTACTACAGTGATTTTCTTTACGTGGAAAGAAAGATCATCAGGGGCTTTATTTAAATTGAAAATATCAGGACCCCGAGCTATCCGTTCTCCCTTGGGGAGGGGTTAACGTTTAATATAGTTTATATAGGGAAATAACACTTTTCGGTATATATTTTATATATTTTCAGCAGAAAATTGCTCAAACTTAGTCAGAATCATCTTGGGTAAATGAGAGTTTTACTTTGTAAAATTAGGATTCCTGCCCCATCCCCAGGGGCTAGGGCGGGGCCCCAAAGGGAACATTTACCAATATTTTCAAATTCTTATCCATTGATGACATGACAAGTATTGTATTTCACTTAGTTTACATGCTGATTTCCACATCACATCTAAACAATAAAATAAAGCTACCAGTATCTATGATATAACTCAGGTGACCGCTAAGGCCCTTGGGCCTCTTGTTTTGACAGAGCGTCTAGCTAGAGAGGAAGAAGAAAATGACAGAGTGAGATTAGAAGAGATGTCGGAGGATGAATATGACGCGCTGCCAGATAAAGAGAAAGCTGCAGTTGACATGAAGAGACTTGACATAAAGAAAGAAAGGATAAGAAAGTAAGTAATGCCCCCTGTTAGGTAACCTTAGTGATAGCTAAGTAATGCCCCCTGTTAGGTAACCTTTGTGATAGCTAAGTAATGCCCCCTGTTAGTTAACCTTTGTGATAGCTAAGTAATGCCCCCTGTTAGGTAACCTTAGCCAAAGGTAAGTAATGCCCATGTTAGGTAACCTTAGTGATAGCTAAGTAATGCCCCCTGTTAGGTAACCTTAGTGATAGCTAAGTAATGCCCCCTGTTAGGTAACCTTAGCCAAAGGTAAGTCATGTCCAATGTTAGGTAACCTTAGTGATAGCTAAGTAATGCCCCCTGTTAGTTAAATTTAGTGATAGCTAAGTAATGCCCCCTGTAAGGTAACCTAAGCCAAAGGTAAGTGATTCCCCCTGTTAGTTAACCTTAGTGATAGCTAAGTAATGCCCCCTGTTAGGTAACCTAAGCCAAAGGTAAGTGATGCCCCCTGTTAGTTAACCTTAGTGATAGCTAAGTAATGCCCCCTGTTAGGTAACCTAAGCCAAAGGTAAGTGATGCCCCCTGTTAGTTAACCTTAGTGATAGCAAAGTAATGCCCCCTGTTAGGTAACCTAAGCCAAAGGTAAGTGATTCCCCCTGTTAGGTAACCTTAGTGATAGCTAAGTAATGCCCCCTGTTAGGTAACCTTAGCCAAAGGTAAGTCATGTCCAATGTTAGGTAACCTTAGTGATAGCTAAGTAATGCCCCCTGTTAGGTAACCTTAGCCAAAGGTAAGTAATGTCCAATGTTAGGTAACCTAATTAGCCAAAGGTAAGTAATGTCCAATGTTAGTTAACCTTAGTGATAGCTAAGTAATGCCCCCTGTTAGTTAACCTTTGTGATAGCTAAGTAATGCCCTCTGTTAGTTAAATTTAGTGATAGCTAAGTAATGCCCCCTGTTAGGTAACCTAAGCCAAAGGTAAGTGATTCCCCCTGTTAGTTAACCTTAGTGATAGCGAAGTAATGCCCCCTGTTAGGTAACCTTAGCCAAGGGTAAGTAATGCCCCCTGTTAGTTAACCTTAGTGATAGCTAAGTAATGCCCCCTCCTTAGCCAAAGGTAAGTAATGTCCAATGTTAGGTATCCTAATTAGCCAAGGGTAAGTAATGCCCCCTGTTAGGTAGCCTTAGCCTGTCACATTGTGTCATGTGTCCTTCATTGTTAGGTGTCCATAGTTTGTCATCTGTTCACAATTGACTTTTTTTGGACATCTTATTAAGAACTATTTAAAAGATTTATCTTGAATGTGTTAAAATCCTTAAAAAATACATCTGGCCAAGTTCAAAAAGGCCAAAGGTCTTGCAATTAACGAGTAAGTTGCTGGGATGAAGGGTTTTCAAACTTTTCAAATAAAAGACCTTGATGTTCATTCAAGGTCAAAGGGGTCTACAATATTTTGAAAAAGGCTTATGATTATATTTTATACAGTATGGTAGACCTATCACTTTTTCCAAATAATTAACCTTGACATTGGAACAATAAATTGAAAACTGCAAATTCATTCCTAAATTTCACACATAGTGTTAACTGCAGTATGTCCACATGGTGTTAACTGCAGTATGTCCACATGGTGTAAACTGCAGTATGTCCACATGGTGTTAACTGCAGTATGTCCACATAGTGTTAACTGCAGTATGTCCACATGGTGTTAACTGCAGTATGTCCACATAGTGTTAACTGCAGTATGTCCACATGGTGTTAACTGCAGTATGTCCACATGGTGTTAACTGCAGTATGTCCACATGGTGTTAACTGCAGTATGTCCACATGGTGTTAACTGCAGTATGTCCACATGGTGTTAACTGCAGTATGTCCACATGGTGTTAACTGCAGTATGTCCACATGGTGTTAACTGCAGTATGTCCACATGGTGTTAACTGCAGTATGTCCACATGGTGTTAACTGCAGTATGTCCACATGGTGTTAACTGCAGTATGTCCACATGGTGTAAACTGCAGTATGTCCACATGGTGTAAACTGCAGTATGTCCACATTGATAATTACTTATTTGAGCTGCTTCCTACTAAATCAGGTCTCCATTGTAACAAAGTTATGTTGACAAAGCTGACTATTTACGTGATCATTTTCTCAGATTGGTTGATCAATTATAGTACAAATAAGGGCCGCACTGTTGATGAAAGCTCTTGAACATGTTACAAAGTTAATATTTTTTTCTTGTTTTTATAACAGAGAAAATGAGGAGCGCATGGAACGTGACCGTTTGGAGCGAGAGGCTGCTGAAGCAGAGGCCAAGAGACTGGAGGAGGAAAAGTAACCTTCTTATTCATATTACATTTATCCAGTAGAATCATTTATTCATTGTCCTTGATATGAGTTATTTTACATGTGTGACACTGTTAAATTGTACATAGACTGGTCCTAGACCAACCCATGTCTGTCTGGCACACACCATAGGCTGTATCCTAGACCAACCCATACCTGTCTGGCGCACACCATAGGCTGTACCCTAGACCAACCCATATCTGTCTTGCACACACCATAGGCTGTATCCTAGACCAACCCATATCTGTCTGGCACACACCATAGGCTGTATCCTAGACCAACCCATATCTGTCTGGCACACACCATAGTCCGTATCCAAGACCAACCCATACCTGTCCGGCACACACCATAGGCTGTAACCTAGACCAACCCATATCTGTCTGGCACACACCATAGGCTGTACCCTAGACCAACCTATATCTGTTTGTCACACACCATAGGCTGTATCCTAGACCAACCATAGGGTAACAGTGTACAGTAGCTTATGGTGACCATAGGATAGCAGTGTACAGTAGCGTACGGTGGCCATAGGGTAGCAGTGTACAGTAGCGTATGGTGGCCATAGGGTAGCAGTGTACGGTAGCGTACGGTGGCCATAGGGTAGCAGTGTACAGTAGCGTACGGTGGCCATAGGGTAGCAGTGTACAGTAGAGTATGGTGGCCATAGGGTAGCAGTGTACGGTAGCGTACGGTGGCCATAGGGTAGCAGTGTACAGTAGCGTACGGTGGCCATAGGGTAGCAGTGTACAGTAGCGTACGGTGGCCATAGGGTAGCAGTGTACAGTAGCGTACGGTGGCCATAGGGTAGCAGTGTACAGTAGCGTACGGTGGCCATAGGGTAGCAGTGTACAGTAGCGTACGGTGGCCATAGGGTAGCAGTGTACAGTAGCGTACGGTGGCCATAGGGTAACAGTGTACAGTAGCCTACGGTGGCCATAGGGTAGCAGTGTACAGTAGCGTACGGTGGCCATAGGGAAACAGTGTACCGTAGCCTACGGTGGCCATAGGGTAGCAGTGTACGGTGGCCATAGGGTAGCAGTGTACAGTAGCGTACGGCGGCCATAGGGTAGCAGTGTACAGTAGCGTAGGGTGACCATAGGGTAGCAGTGTACAGTAGCCTACGGTGGCCATAGGGGAGCAGTGTACAGTAGCCTACGGTGGCCATAGGGGAGCAGTGTACAGTAGCGTACGGGGGCCATAGGGTAGCAGTGTACAGTAGCGTACGGTGGCCATAGGGTAGCAGTGTACAGTAGTGTACGGTTGCCATTGGGTAGCAGTGTACAGTAGCATACGGTGGCCATAGGGTAGCAGTGTACAGTAGCGTACGGTGGCCATAGGGTAGCAGTGTACAGTAGTGTACAGTGGCCATAGGGAAACAGTGTACCGTAGCGTACGGTTGCCATAGGGTAGCAGTGTACAGTAGTGTACAGTGGCCATAGGGTAGCAGTGTACAGTAGCGTATGGTGGCCATACGGTAGCAGTGTACAGTACTGTACAGTGGCCATGGGTGATATTTTTGTACAATGAATAACCCCTATAAAATTACATGTATCAAAACTTTAAAAAAAAAAATCAGCACTAAAATTAGCATATACATGATGAGGTGGACTTTGTGGGCTTCACATTAAAAAAAAAATTGAATTTAGTTATTTAGTTTGAGACTACATTTTTGGCCATATTCAAATCTGTGTCTACACAACAAAAGCTATAGCCTTTCATGTAGTCTATTTTTGTACTCAGCACATGTGTAAATATTGTGAAAAATCCACCGGTATTGAGAACATGAGAACAGTCAATTACCAAATTCCTCAAACACCTAGATCTGTTTATTTGGGATCAAACATTGGTAAACTTACTGATTATCCACGTCAACTACCTGTTATGTGATGTTGTGTAAAATAATCAAAATATATAATAGCGGTAGAAGAGAAAACACTGACTGGTTTTTTTTCAAGTCAGTTATAGCTCAGTATAATGTGTCCAAATGATATATTATTTGCTTGTTTGATTTAAGACCTAAGAAGAAGGGTAAGAAGGGCCCAGAAAAGGAGAAACCTAAGGATGAGCCTGCCAAGGATGGTAAGAAGAGTGTGGCTGCAACAGGCAAAACAACCAGCACCGACCGTATACAAAAGTCCCAAGGAGGTCCTAAACCCCACGACAGTGACCATCCAGTCAGCAAGGCCGGGTCCAGTATCACTGACCGGCCAGAGTCACACCAGACAGAGAAAAGTGACACAGTTTTAGACGATGGAAAGTAAGTTCAGACAGTGTTAGAGAGATAAGTAATATACAAGTATGATGTACAACTATATAGAAATGTTTAGATTATCTCAGTTTCTGTGTATTGGTAGGTTTAACATGCTGTAATATTCAGTGACTTGATGAAGCTGTGTTTTCTTGATGAGAATTTCTGTGTATCTAGACACAATGACGGAAATTATATCATTCTATTATCTGTATAGGAAGGGAAAGAAAGGAGGCAAAGATGCGAAAAAACCTGGTGATGGAAAGGAAAAGTCAGACAAAGAGAAAGGAGAAAGCGAAACTGAAATTGTACATGACCCTCTCAAAGAGTCTGAAATCTTACTCATGCAACGATTCCGTACAGTTGAGCATTCTAGCAAGGAGATTGCTGACCTCATTGAGTTCTGGGACAGAACCACACTTGGTATCAAACGACCACCCACTCCCTCAGAAAAGTCTGAAGAAGATGGACAGCATCATCCACCATCTGGCAAAAAAGCAAAGGGCAAAGGTCAATATGCATTTACAACAAGCAAGTTTATAACGTCAATAAATACGTCACAAGTAGAGTTATCCCTATCACAATACATCACAAGTAGAATTATCCCTATCACAATACATCACAAGTAGAAGTATCCCTATCACAATACATCACAAGTAGAAGTATCCCTATCACAATACATCACAAGTAGAATTATTCCTATCACAATACATCACAAGTAGAAGTATCCCTATCACAATACATGACAATTAGAAGTATCCCTATCGCAATACATCACAAGTATAAGTATCCCTATCACAGTACATCACAATTAGAAGTATCCTTATCACAATACATCACGAGTAAAAGTATCCCTATCACAATCCATCACAAGTAAAAGTATCCCACTCACAATCCATCAAAAGTAGAAGTATCCCTATCCCAATACATCACAAGTATAAGTATCCCTATCACCACACATCACAAGTAGAAGTATCCCTATCACAGTACATCACAAGTAGAAGTATCTCTATCACAATACATCACAAGTAGAAGTATCCCTATCACAATACATCACAAGTAGAATTATTCCTATCACAATACATCACAAGTAGAATTATCCCAATCACAATACATCACAAGTAGAATTATCCCTATCACAATACATCACAAGTATAATTATCCCAATCACAATACATCACAAGTAGAAGTATCCCTATCACCATACATCACAAGTAGAAGTATCCCTATCACAATACATCACTAGTAGAAGTATCCCTATCACAATACATCACAAGTAGAAGTATCCCTATCACAATACATCACAAGTAGAAGTATCCCTATCACAATACATCACAAGTATAATTATCCCTATCACATTATATCAATAGCATATCCCCTTGGATGTTGGACATAGCTTAGAATATATCTGGTCCCAGAATCAGGTCACAGAATGATATCCTAATTTCTTATGTTTTCTTGGAAATGTTGCATTGCACAGCATACCTTTCTGAACTTAAAAGTCCAGATTGTTTGATTATCATGGGACCAGAGACTTGTACCAAGTAACACAGGCAGTCACATAAGCATTATGTTTACAGATAAACATGACAAACAGGAGAAAGAGAAAGAAAAGGAAAGACAGAAACAGATAGAGAAAGAAAACGCTGAAAGAGCTGCTAAGGAGGTGAGTAAAGCCTGCTTGGTAACTGTGTGGGGCAAGGTGGTCAATCAGGAGGTGGCTATATAAACACTTGAAGGGATCTATTATTTGGTAGAACAAGACCCATAAGTGAGTCCCTTATTGTATTGCTGTGCACTAATTAGGTGCCTGTAATGATCCCCATCTAGCTAGTGAGATGGGTATATAGTCATTACTTTGTCAGTGTGGCTGACACACCCATTGTTAAAGCTTACTCCTGCATGGTAGGTTAAAGATATGTAATGAACCCCTGAACACAATTTGAGGGTTCTCTTGCTTTACGATGTTGACTTTTTTAATTATTACTTGTAAAAAAAAGTTTGTTTAAATTCAGCATTGTAGGAATTTGGAAAGGTCTTTGTCAGGGAAAAGTTGGAAAGGTCTTTGTCAGGGAAGAGTTGGAAAGGTCTTTTTCAATGAAAAGGTGGAAAGGTCTTTGTCAAGGAAAAGTTAGAAAGGTCTTTGTCAAGGAAAAGTTAGAAAGGTCTTTGTCAAGGAAAAGTTGGAAATGTTTTTGTCAGTCAATAAGCCAAATCAACCATCTTTGATTTAGAGTTGGCTGAAAAGACATAACACTTGTTTGGCCATTTTGAGAAATTTTTAATTGCTGTTACTAAACATCTCTGGATAATGATTTCTAGATCTCACCAAAAGCCATTATAATACCTTTATGTAAATCAATGACACTTAAATGCCATCTGTATACTTATAAGCCTTGTAACATTGTAGGCCGCAGCAGCAGCTACCCAGCAGGGAGAACCAGCAGACGGCGAGGGAGTCGAAGATACTCCAAAGGACGAGGATGGTTCTGGCATCCCCCATCTCCACATAGACTGCTCAGACAAGGCCAGCACTCCCTTTGACAAGCTCATGAACCTACAGAAGCTACCCACCATGAACGAGGTACAATCGGTGCAACAAAATGTTTACTCGGCTATATATTTAAGCAGACATATTGATTTGCTCAAATTGTTTTATCCAAAAGCTCAAACCAAATACATGTATTGGAAAAACAGTAATTCTGTTTCCTATTGAATTGGATAGTTTACACAGTAAAACAACAATACCAAATGTATATTTATTTTTGTTGATCCCAGCTCAGTAAAGTTGGCAGGGAATACATGCCAGTTCTGTCCACCTGTGTGTATGTTTGTCTGTACAACATCATTTCTGGAAAAGATCTCAAAAACCTTGACAGATTTTATTGTCAAACATCCCGCCTACAGTCCATTACAATGCAAAGAGGTGTACATTTGCTATTTTTTTCATTAAAACTGTGGTCAAAATATATTTACATATTTGTAGCATATATGTGTTTTTGGTGCAAACCCCAATGACCATTACAGATATCGTTTTTCAGATATGATCTCAGTACGGGGGATTCAATGCCCAAACTGACTGATGGTATGTAGTAGTGAAGTATTGTAACAGTTGTTAATGTAGACATGGTTTTGTACAGGTGCTGGATGGAATTGGACTTGGTCCGAGGGGCCCCCCGATCCCACCCTCAGCCACATTTGCCGTTGTGCCCTACCCTGTGAAGAGGAGAGCCCCTCCTGTGTCTGAGTTTGGAGGTCGCTACATCTTTGTGGCTTCATCCCCAGATGACCCGTAAGTAATAAATTTCAACTGTAATAAGTAGAAGTGTTCATTATACAAATAACAAACATCTGTATGTGTTTGTAAGCGTTACTCAGCACAAGATATTTATGTAATTTGTTTTGTTGATGATCAATGCATAATGCCAAAAAAATAAAAAATTGATTTGTTTCTCCATTGGACGTACTAAAATGTCATTAGATAGGTAGGCAAAGCTTGATGTATTATCAAGCTATGTTCATAGTATTGATATGAATTCAGTAAGGAAAGCTGTCAACACATTTTTATTGAGACAATACTAAATAATTAATAAAGATATAATACTGTACTGGAAAACTTGTCAAAGATATTGATGTTAATATGTGACAATTTATCAAAGATGTATATAAATTATACCAATAAATTAGTAATAGAAAATATGTCAAACATTTCAGTATTAATTAATAGTAGGAAGTTGTCAGATAGTGAGTTTATAAGGCAATAACAATGTAATGTCTTTTATGTTGACAGCAATATTGGTATGTTGGATTCTAAAGATCCTGAACCCGAGGAGGAGAAGTCCGTTACCCCTGACAAAGGTAATGACCTGGCAACTCCTACTAAAGGCAAGTCAGGCAAGACAGACAAGTCTGCTGGAAAGGAGGACAAGAAAGGGGAGAGAAAGAAGAGTGCAGAGAGGAAACAGACATCAAAGACAGTGTCACGTCGCAATTCAATGCAGGTTCCATCACCTCCCCCTGGGGCTGCCACACCTGTGTCAGACATGGACAGGTATGAGTGTAATTTCCAAATAGTGGTTGTACATGTTTACAAGGGCGATATTACAAACCAGTCGCCGTAGAGAAAAGAATTTACTGGGAATTTTTTTAAATAGTCTTAACACATACATCAGAAATGTTTAACCAACTTGGAGGACTCATGTATACTTACTCAAATTATGTGGGGGTTTTATATAAAAAATATTTTCAAGTTTCCAGTACAGTCCAGGAAATACACCTTTTTTGAAGATATATAGCAATATATTATGATCCATTTTGTTGATTACAAATTGATTTTATGACTGTTCCTCCACTTGTTGATATTAAATATCTTTCACTGTAGAGCGCGCATAAGACTAGAGTTTTAATCGATCCTGTGTGTCCGACTTGTTTAATATCCTTTATGCAGTGACTGTGTTTCCTAATATTTAGCATGGACTTTTCTATTTAACCAGTTGTGTTTGAGCTGTAACATGTGTGCTCCAGTAGCTCTCCACACCTCCTCTCCTGATCAAACCTCACATCACCACCATACTGCTAGCAGCAGTGTTCAATAGGAAACAGTAAAGCACACACATATGTTTCTCAGAAACAAAATTCAGTATATAAGGACTTTTTAGTCAGTTTTATGATACTACCTGTCATCGATGGATGTTTTATTACTAGTTTATTAAAGATGGCCGCTACATATTCAGCAGGCATTGTATAAACCATGTTGTGTAAGTGATACTGATTATAACACAGAAAACCCTATGTAGGCCTAGACAGTGGTAAACAGAAGCCATTGTTAGCTGGTGATGTTATCTCCATACTGTCATCTGTAACATGGTGAAGTGTGGTCTGGCATTACTTGACACAGTTTGCCTCCTGTTATCTCTGATGTCAAGAACTATCCACTTATCATGTAAATTTGTGCATAAGAGCATAATCAAAATTCCAGGACAGGTTGGATTTTCAAACTTCATGTACGAATCAGTAAAACTACGAATGATAGGCTTTTGATATTTTCAACTTTCTGATTTTGATAAAGTATGAGTTGTCCTGGTGCCCAGAATATGTGTATGTGTGTCTCTGGAGCATATCTCATAAACTGGTGTAAATTTAGATGTTCATGGTCCACACAAGTCAGTCAGAGAGCATTGTTATTGTAGGCGATCCAAATTAGTTAATATGGAAGATAATCTTCAAAACAGCTCAAAATTACCAAACTTGAACACTGCAGAGTAGGGGCTATTTATGTAAATATGTCTTTCTGTTAATACTGTTTAAGAACATTTTAAAAATTGGAACTGAACTTATTAAAACCATGAGGTTTCTATAACAAAAATATATTTTGAAGAAATAATTGTATGATGAACTTAATATTTGTGTAGTTAAATAATCAGTAGAGTGTAAAAGTTGCTTAGTTTATCTACATAAGCTATATATAACCCTACTTTTTTAAAACATACAAATAAATCTACGTACTGGTTTTACACATTAAACGTGAAACACTGGTTGGCTGAATTTAAAAGAATCTTTTAGCTTCCATCGAGGGAGAAGAGTACAATCCCAGGATTGTTTATATGATAATGTTTACGAAAACAGTCCCAGGATTGTTTATATGATAATGTTTACGAAAAAGCAGTTATAATTCTGTGGAAAATCTTTTTGTTCGTTATCTGTTCTCCTTATTTTACAATTGATATCTTAGGGATAAATCTAGGCAACTTGTGAGTGTTGTGTGTTTAGATCACTATTGTTATGCGATGTTGTCTCCCCTTCATCCCTCACTGTTCTGTTCCCCCACACTCGGGTTGTCACAACTTTCATATTTCTCAACAACAAAAAGTCAGCTCCAGAGGCTGGGAGAAGACTGGTTACTGTTTTGTTGTTGAGAGGTTTCTAGTGCACCATTGTATCTGTGTAGCAATGCATGACAGGCTTACCGTCTCCTTGATTCCAGCACTACCGGGGAAGGCTTTGGTGTAGCTGACGCCAAAACACCAAAGTAAGTACTGTCAGCATCAAAACATACGGGTACTCACACCTAGTGTTCACACTACTGTACACAGCACTGTACAGTACAGCTTCAAACCAACAACACCCGCCACATATATGTTTTATGTTTCAAATCATTACAATCATCAAGACAAAAATCACATTTACATACATCTATTTTATACTTCCAGTCCTACCCTATTTATTGTACCTGCCCTCAAATAACATATCCTTGGTATATAATACAAATCATCTGTGTTTCTTGACAAAAGTCACATGTATCTTCAGGGCTTCAAACCTAAGACACAGGACAAACTGTCAGTACTATTGTAGCAGCATCTCCCACTGTTAAGGCCTAGCTACCATTTTGTTTTGATAAATTTGGAGGTTTCTGTAATGGAACAATTTCATTGATATTATAATATGTGGAATCATCTTTTACAGAAAAAAAAATTCATCGTTTTTGTTTTGGCTAATGTATCAAAGATATCATAAAAAAAAATGAAGAAAAGAAAATCTCTGAGTTGTGTCTGGGTTTTGGTGATAAGCTGTTGACTGAGTAAGCTGTTTTGACCCCTATATGTATTTATCAGATAGGTACATGTAAATGTGAGCTTATGTGGTGGCATGGTGTCTGTCGTCTTTCTCTCATTCGTCAACATGAGCTTATGCCGTACTGTGGCATATGTCATCCCTCTATCTGTCAATCACTAGTTTCTGCAAATAACCTCTACTTCTGAACCACATAACAAATTAAAGTGTCAGTCTTTAAATAACTTCTTCTGAAGAACCGTTCGATATAGGTCATGATAAACAGCTCTCCAGATTGTTTGCTTTTATTTCATTTTGATCTACTTTGAATTACAGGTGAGCAATACAGGCCCATTAGGTGTTTCTTTTTGTACATTTTTGTGGCAAAATTTTGAATTAAGACAAAAAAAGTACTGATATTTTCGTTGCAAGTCGACCAATCAGAGTAGAAAAAGATCTGTGACATCACTCATGTCACAAAAATCAATGACATCACAAAACATGTCAGGGACGTCACAGAGATCAGTGACATCTAAAAGCATTTCAGTGACATCACAAAGGTCAGTGACATCACAAAGGTCAGTGACATCACAAAGGTCACAAAACATGTGGGTCACATCGGGAAACCTGAAGTTAGCACTGTTACAACAGCAGCACCTGAAGGGGCTGGAAATGGATGAAAACTCTGGAAACATCAGGAGAGAATTGGAACTCCAAGTACTCAGAATGGTCCCCTTACCGTAAATATCATGTAGCAAGAAAAATGTCATAAACAAAAATATTTCCATTTTCATTGTTGCAACTACACACAAACACTTAGAAAATGGGATTATATTTTATTTAATGTTTTATTTTTCTCGCACCTATGTTTTGAATTTGATGAGTTATATCACTACAATTGTTTAATCCGTCACTCTACATGCCTCTGTACCCCAATTGACAGGGCAAATGTTGTTTGTCTTTTCCATCGGTTGAAAAATAGCTCATCCATCCATCCGTCTGTATGACGTCAGTGGTTGTAGACTTTTCATTTAACTCTATAACTAATACTAGACGTCATACATTTATCAAACTTCATCTGTGAATTATATACCTTGTATAGTACTACAGCGAAATATCAAGTGTAGCTACGTCTCTGTTACTGATCTCACTACACTGACTTAGGTTAGACACAGTTTATTGTTACTGATCTCACTACACTGACTTTGGTAAGGTAGGGTTTACTGTTACTGATCTCACTACACTGACTTAGGTTAGACAGGGTTTACTGTTACTGATCTCACTACACTGACTTTGGTAAGGCAGGGTTTACTGTTACTGATCTCACTACACTGACTTAGGTTAGACAGAGTTTACTGTTACTGATCTCACTACACTGACTTAAGTTAGACAGGGTGTACTGTTACTGATCTCACTACACTGACTTAGGTTAGACAGAGTTTACTGTTACTGATCTCACTACACTGACTTAAGTTAGACAGAGTTTACTGTTACTGATCTCACTACACTGACTTAAATTAGACAGGGTTTAGTGTTACTGATCTCACTACACTGACTTAGGTTAGACAGGGGTTACTGTTACAGATCTCAGTACACTGATTTAGGTTAGACAGGGTTTACTGTTACTGATCTCATTACACTGACTTAGGTTAGACAGGGTTTACTGTTACAGATCTCACTACACTGACTTAGGTTAGACAGGGTTTAATGTTACTTATCTCACTACACTGACTTAGGTTAGACAGGGTTTACTGTTACTGATCTAACTACACTGACTTAGGTTAGACAGGGTTTACTGTTACTGATCTCATTACACTGACTTAGGTTAGACAGGGTTTACTGTTACAGATCTCACTACACTGACTTAGGTTAGACAGGGTTTAATGTTACTTATCTCACTACACTGACTTAGGTTAGACAGGGTTTACTGTTACAGATCTCACTACACTGATTTAGGTTAGACAGGGTTTACTGTTACTGATCTCATTACACTGACTTAGGTTAGACAGGGTTTACTGTTACAGATCTCACTACACTGACTTAGGTTAGACAGGGTTTACTGTTACAGATCTCACTACACTGATTTAGGTTAGACAGGGTTTACTGTTACTGATCTCATTACACTGACTTAGGTTAGACAGGGTTTACTGTTACAGATCTCACTACACTGATTTAGGTTAGACAGGGTTTACTGTTACTGATCTCATTACACTGACTTAGGTTAGACAGGGTTTACTGTTACAGATCTCACTACACTGATTTAGGTTAGACAGGGTTTACTGTTACTGATCTCATTACACTGACTTAGGTTAGACAGGGTTTACTGTTACAGATCTCACTACACTGACTTAGGTTAGACAGGGTTTACTGTTACAGATCTCACTACACTGACTTAGGTTAGACAGGGTTTAATGTTACTTATCTCACTACACTGACTTAGGTTAGACAGGGTTTAATGTTACTTATCTCACTACACTGACTTAGGTTAGACAGGGTTTAATGTTACTTATCTCACTACACTGACTTAGGTTAGACAGGGTTTACTGTTACAGATCTCACTACACTGATTTAGGTTAGACAGGGTTCACTGTTACTGATCTCACTACACTGACTTAGGTTAGGCAGGGTTTACTGTTACTGATCTCACTACACTGACCTAGGTTAGACAGGGTTTACTGTTACTGATCTCATTACACTGACTTAGGTTAGACAGGGTTTACTGTTACTTATCTCACTACACTGACTTAGGTTAGACAGGGTTTACTGTTACAGATCTCACTACACTGACTTAGGTTAGACAGGGTTTACTGTTACAGATCTCACTACACTGACTTAGGTTAGACAGGGTTTAATGTTACTTATCTCACTACACTGACTTAGGTTAGACAGGGTTTAATGTTACTTATCTCACTACACTGACTTAGGTTAGACAGGGTTTACTGTTACTTATCTCACTACACTGACTTGGGTTAGACAGGGTTTACTGTTACTGCTCTCACTACACTGACTTAGGTTAGACAGGGTTTAATGTTACTTATCTCACTACACTGACTTAGGTTAGACAGGGTTTAATGTTACTTATCTCACTACACTGACTTAGGTTAGACAGGGTTTACTGTTACTGATCTCACTACACTGACTTAGGTTAGACACGGTTTAGCTACATTTCCACCAACATGGGAATGGAGGCAGATGTATCTATTATAAAACATATTCTACTTTTTCATTTTTTCCTCTTTGCAAATTAGTTTTTTTTCATTTTCCATCTGAACTGCACGATCATCCTTGACTTGTATCCTCCATGTCACGTGATATCATTTTGGACTTTAACCAATGTTTCCACGTCTAAAACTGGTGTTAACTTCTGACTTACTAACATTGAGTTATATTGGGTATTTTACTCGCAACAAACAACTTGTCCTCTCTTTAAGTTAAAAATGGGGGGAAATTTTATGTCAGAAAATATCCAAAAAGTCAGTGAATAGGTAATTTGAAGAATAACAGGATTTTTTCCACATTAGATGGGGAACTTGGTGAGGACAAGTTGCATAGTCTTGAGTATAATGCTATAATTTGTTTTCAGTAAAAATTGATTGCTTAACCATTTTTTCTGTAAGAATTGACTTGTTAACCTTATTAGTCTGTAAGAAGATACTGCTTATAATACTACCCTCAATAGTATGTTCAAATTAACAAAATTCCACTTGTAAACAGAAATATATAGATGAAGGAGGATTCTGTATTTCATTTTCATGATATTTAGGTACGGAACATGTTATGTACATTGTTAATGATAACTAAATGAGTGAATTGTTTAGAATATGATAAGACTCTTTAAAAAAAAAACATTTTTTAAATTAAAATAATTTGAAACCTGTTCCTGTATGTTATGGTGTTGTGGATTGTACCAGTGTTGTTATATAACTTGTACTGTATTTCTCAGGTTGTCAATCTTTCGGTGGGTTGTCCCAGCCAATGGGGAAGTAATTCTGCGTCTGCGCTTCCATTCAGAGGAGCTTGGCCAATTTGACCAGACACTAAACTTTGAGATTGTTGGTACTCGCCGAAGATATCAATTGTACTGTCGTGGAATATGTGCTTTTCCCTCAATTAGCAGGGAGCCGAGGTATGGATATTCACTGTCTGTAAAAAAAAAATCATGTTTTTAATAAATAAAAAAATGTAAGAAAGAGGCAAAACTCAAGTAAATAAGGACCAATCTTTAGGTGGCCTGTCCATCAATTAAATTTTTAAATTTTGGACTTGACTGCACATTGCGAGAGATGGTCTGTCCATCCATTCACACTTTGGTTTCTGCAAGGTTACTTCATGAAATGTCATTCAATTGAATGATGTAAGCAAGAGAGGTATTTAGGGGAGTTGTGCAGTGGCAGAGGGCACCATTCCTTAAAATAAAAGTTTGCCTCTCTGACTTATAACTTAAAAACTTATTGTCATACAACGTTATAACTTGCTGTATGGATAGCCCTAACTTACACACTCCACTGGTGTTTAGTGTAACTTGTGGATGGATAGCCCTAACTTACACACTCCACTGGTGTTTAGTGTAACTTGTGTATGGATAGCCCTAACCTACACATTCCACTGGTGTTTAGTGTAACTTGTGTATGGATAGCCCTAGCTTACACACTCCACTGGTGTTTAGTGTTACTTGTGTATGGACAGCCCTAACTTACACACTCCACTGGTATTTAGTGTAACTTGTGTATGGATAGCCCTAGCTTACACGCTCCACTGGTGTTTAGTGTAACTTGTGTATGGACAGCCCTAACTTACACACTCCACTGGTGTTTAGTGTAACTTGTGTATGGATAGCCCTAGCTTACACGCTCCACTGGTGTTTAGTGTAACTTGTGTATGGATGATTGTTCAATTTCTGTATTTCATATGCAGAGAATGGATAGCCTGTCCACAAAGACCTATTGTAAAACAGATTGTACAGATTTGTGCCCAATTTCCTGCCCTTCTCTTTGAGGGGTCAGTACTGTATATCCTGAACAGGAGATAATTTCTGCTCCTTTTGACTCTTTGTTTAAATCAAAATTTGGAGGTTAAGAACTATGATGGATTGCATGAAATACTTGTTGTTGTTGTAGAATTGTGTTCCCAAGTCGCAAGAAGAATAAAAAGTCGGATGAGATTGTCCATAAAAAGTATATCTTATCATCAGATACTTTTGAGTTTGGTCCACTGCTCATCATGAAATCAAGGGAAAGGTAATGTTTTCTGTCTGCTTAGTATCATGCACAAGCAACATGAGATGTCCAGGGAAAAAATGAGTCCTCCTGACATATCTAAAGTCTTACCTTTTGTAGTCTGATATATCTAAAGTCTTACCTTTTGTAGTCTGAGATATGCTCTAACTTTGGTCAATGCTTATTTTGAATTTCAGAATTTAAATGGAAACTGACAATGATAATTGTCCTAGCTGTTGTTTATTGTTTATTGTCTGTCAATCAACTGACGACTGAAAATGAAAAATCCTTCCTATCAGGTTAAACGGACAATATAGGACAACTTCCCACAAGATCAGATATGATAAAAAAAACGTACACCTTGTTGTGAAATGAAGGACATCTAGCCATCAGGAAAGAAACCAGCCTTAATTTAAATAATCAAATTATCTTGGTCACCTTGCATGTTAAAGTTGTAGTCAGACGTGCTTAACGACCTACAAGATGTGGTCATTTGGCTGGTCTGACTACAACTTCAGGGGTGAGAGCAGTTACCATAGGCAAAGTAATACATTGTTAAATGATGTGATGCCAATACTACATAACAATGTCTACCACTTATATAAGTGACATGTTGAACAGTACAGTCATTATTATTATGCTTGCATTTTAAAGGTATAAGGAGGGTCGGTATCCAGAAAACATGGAAAAACTATTGATAAACAACACGTCCCCAATAGAGGCCGACATCAGCTTTTGTTTCCAGCATGATAGCAAGGGTGAAACCTTTTTGCTCGACCCACCCAACATGACACTGAAGCCTGGGGACACTCAGACGCTCACCATATGGGCATACCCACGCTCCCCCGAGGTTTATGAGGATGCAATAGTGTGTTGCATACGGGAAAATCCAGAACCTGTTGTCTTCCGAGTTAACTGTGTAGGGGTCAAAGCTGAACTGGAACTAGACAAGAAGGCATTACACTTCGAAAAAGTTCTTCTGCACAGGTAGATACTAACTAGTGGTTAGATTACTGAACACTGGTGGATAACTAGTGGTAAGATTACTGATCACTGGTAGTTAACTAGTGGTTAGATTACTGAATACTGGTGGATAACTAGTGTTTAGATTACTGATCACTGGTAGTTAACTAGTGGTTAGATTACTGAACACTGGTGGATAACTAGTGGTAATATTACTGAATACTGGTAGATAACTAGTGGTTAGATTACTGAATACTGGTAGATAACTAGTGGTTAGATTACTGAATACTGGTGGATAACTAGTGGTTAGATTACTGATCACTGGTAGATAACTAGTGGTTAGATTACTGAACACTGGTAGATAACTAGTGGTTAGATAACTGAACACTGGTGGATAACTAGTGGTTGGATAACTGAATACTGGTGGATAACTAGTGGTTAGATTACTGAACACTGGTAGATTACTATTGGTTAGATTACTGAACACTGGTAGATAACTATTGGTTAGATTACTGAACACTGGTAGATAACTAGTGGTTAGATTACTGAACACTGGTAGATAACTATAATTAAATTACTGAACACTGGTAGTTTACTATTGGTTAGATAACTGAACACTGGTAGATAACTAGTGGTTAGATTACTGAACACTGGTAGATAACTAGTGATTAAATTACTGAACACTGGTAGATAACTATTGGTTAGATTACTGAACACTGGTAGATAACTATTGGTTAGATAACTGATCACTGGTAGATAACTAGTGGTTAGATTACTGATCACTTTAGGTAACTATTGGTTAGATTACTGAACACTGGTAGATAACTAGTGGTTAAATTACTGAACACTGGTAGATAACTAGTGGTTAGATTACTGAATACTGGTAGATAACTAGTGGTTAGATTACTGACCACTGGTAGATAACTAGTGGTTAGATTACTGTTAACTGGTAGATAACTAGTGGTTAGATTAATGAACACTGGTAGTAAACTATTGGTTAGATAACTGAACACTGGTAGTTAACTATTGGTTAGATTACTGAACACTGGTAAATAACTGGTGGTTAGATTACTGATCACTGGTAGTTAACTATTGGTTAGATTACTGAACACTGGTAGATAACTGGTGGTTAGATTACTGAACACTGGTAGATAACTATTGGTTAGATTACTGAACACTGGTAGATAACTTGTGGTTAGATTACTGAACACTGGTAGTTAACTAGTGGTTAGATTACTGAACACTGGTAGTTAACTGGTGGTTAGATTACTGATCACTGGTAGTTAACTATTGGTTAGATTACTGAACACTGGTAGTTAACTATTGGTTAGATTACTGAAAACTGGTAAATAACTGGTGGTTAGATTACTGATCACTGGTAGATAACTATTGGTTAGATTACTGAACAGTGGTAGATAACTATTGGTTAGATTACTGAACACTGGTAGTTAACTAGTGGTTAGATTACTGAACAGTGGTAGTTAACTATTGGTTAGATTACTGAACACTGGTAAATAACTGGTGGTTAGATTACTGATCACTGGTAGATAACTATTGGTTAGATTACTGAACACTGGTAGATAACTTGTGGTTAGATTACTGAACACTGGTAGATAACTATTGGTTAGATTACTGAACACCGGTAGATAACTATTGGTTAGATTACTGAACACTGGTAGTTAACTAGTGGTTAGATTACTGAACGCTGGTGGATAACTAGTGGTTAGATTACTGAACACTGGTAGATAACTATTGGTTAGATTAATGAACACCGGGAGATAACTATTGGTTAGATTACTGAAAACTGGTAGATATCTAGTGGTTAGATTACTGAATACTGGTGGATAACTAGTGGTAAGACTACTGATCACTGGTGGATAACTAGTGGTTAGATTACTGAACAGTGGTAGTTAACTAGTGGTTAGATTACTGAACAGTGGTAGTTAACTAGTGGTTAGATTACTGTACACTGGTAGATAACTAGTGTTTAGATTACTGAACACTGGTAGATAACTAGTGGTTAGATTACTGAACACTGGTAGATAACTGTAAGTTAGATTACTGAACACTGGTAGTTAACTATTGGTTAGATTACTGAACACTGGAAGATAACTATTGGTTAGATTACTGAACACTTGAAGATAACTATTGGTTAGATTACTGAACACTGGAAGATAACTAGTGGTTAGATTACTGAACACTGGTAGATAACTAGTGGTTTGATTACTAAACACTGGTAGATAACTAGTGGTTAGATTACTGAACACTGGTAGATAACTAGTAGTTAGATTACTGAGTCCTATAGGAGCTTGTGCTCATGTCATTCCATGGAAATAGTTGAGATAGCTACCCTATAAATATATACACAAGCATACAAATCTCAATAAGATGAAGAATTCTGCCTATTTTTGTTTACAGGAAGGATACGAAGACAATCTACCTGAGGAACAGCACCATGTTACCGGTCCGGTGGAAGCTTAGTCTGCTGGAGAACCTGGGCGACGACTTTACAGTGGCCGCAGACAGTGGAGTGGTAGAGCCTCGCTCTGAATACCCGCTCCATTTCTACTTCCGAGCAATGAAACCTGTACAGAGTGCTCGCAAAATGATAAGATTGGAGGTCAGTGTGTTTGTCAACTTAATAAGTGTTCTGGTAATCAACAGTCAACTTAAGTGTTCCGGTAATCAACAGTCAACTTAAGTGTTCTGGTAATCAACAGTCAACTTAAATGTTCTGGTAATCAACAGTCAACTTAAGTGTTCCGGTAATCAACAGTCAACTTAAGTGTTCTGGTAAACAACAGTCAACTTAAGTGTTCTGGTAATCAACAGTCAACTTAAGTGTTCTGGTAATCAACAGTCAGTGTCTCTGTGGAGGACTGTGACCCAAGGTCAGAGGTCAAATGTGTTGTATCTGAAATAACAAGATCTTCTTCTGAATAACAAAGAGGTCTTCCACCTATAGCATGCTGGAGTTAAGGGTTAACAAGTTTGTTAAAATGAATGACCTTGATCTACTTCAAGTTTGCAGTTATCAAACTGCTTTTAAATAACCATGAAGCCTAGGGTCATGACATTCTGCTCTTTCGGCTTTTGCATGCTTTGTTGAAACATTTTGTTCATTCCAAAACATGTAAACAATTTCTTCTGAATAGAAGATGGTAAACATATTCTTTCTGGAGTGTTAACGCACACCATAGAATATATTCTTTACCAACTGTATTCATACTACCATATTCTCAATGAAAATGAAGGTCAATCCCTATATACATGCAGACCTTGATACTTTTTGCTACCCTCTCTGTGTTCAGGATCACTCTTTAACCTATAACTAACTTGATATGTTTCAGATCTACGATGTGGATGAGATATTTGGCATGTTCAGTACCGAGAACATCACTGTGACAGCTGAAGCCTACGATATTGCCCTGGACATGAGCTTTCCCAAAGGTACATTTCCACATTTACTGCTTTAACATCAGACGTTTATAGCAGCAACAGATTTTTGCACATTTCTCCTAAAATTGTAATGTTGAGCTGTACCTGTTTAAGATAGAATCAGATGCCAAAGAGACTACCCCACAATTAATGTAATATCTGGGGATATACTGACGTATTCTACATTTGGGCTCAGGATCCTTGGCAGTGTAGACTATCATTGTTACTTGTGCTGTACCTCGGTGTCCATTGGTGCCAATCCGTCAACAATTTCCTGAAAAGACTCATTCTGAACTGCTAATTGGAATTCCACTAAATTAGACTGGAAGCAACCTTATAGGTAGAGGAGCCCATTCAGAATGTACAGATGGAGGGGTTGACCCCCTGGGGGACTAAGGGGACTAAATATGAGATGGATATCAACAACGTTTAGTTAGATGTATTCTCAGGTGATGGCATTTTGAAATTGTACAACTGGAAGGGTTGACCACCTAAGGGGATGAAGGATGGGGCCAAAGGAATAACGTGGCAATATTGTTTTAACAACTTCTCTGGAATTATGAGTATCAGCTGTATTTGGTTTGAAACACTCATTGGTGGGGATTCAAATTTGTACCAAGTGAAGGGCTGATCCCTTAGCCTGAGGGGCAGGCCCAAAGAGAGGTTACACCATGGAAGCAGTTGAGATGTCCACCCGACAACCAGACAGATACACAGATACTACCAGGTTAGCCCAGGGGTCCAACCCTACCACTGGAGATCTAGGAGATCTAGTCTCCAGGTCATATCCTTGAAACACTATCCAGATACTGGGCATGAAGAGACAAACACAATCATGATATCAGAATGCACTCTGGGCTCTGGCCACAGCCTTAAGGACTTGATCCCGGGGAACAACTTGGAAACTGTTTAGCTCTCCACCCGATAACCATATATATGCTGTGAATGAGATTTCATCAGACAAGTCTTTAATACATAAAAGTATAAATTAAAAACTTTAGTACTGACTTTTCTAAAATATTGGATTGCCACAGTTATCAAAGTGAAGTAAATAAATGGTGTCGGAATGAAATTCATTTGTCAGATGGAGAATTTTCTCTATGTTCAAATTTTGTGCCTTTAAACTAAATTTCCACACCTGTTATCTTTCTACCAATATCATTATCAAATGTCAAACACAGAGAAAAATAATAAAAACATAAGAAAACATTTTCAAGATAATTCAATATTTTTACCATGTTTTGCTGAATATACAAAATCACCTTGTTGTGGAGTTATGTTGAGTTGGTTTGAGGTACAGATCATTCACGCATGGACACTCATTAGCAAAATAATCAGGGTTTTCAGGGCTACTTTTCACTAGTTGTGGTACTCTGCCAGTTTTGTGCTCATTGATTGATTAGGGATGGCTTGAGGTAATCTCTGAGTCTGTAGACTTTTATAACACCAACACTTTCTGTATAAACAGGTGCTGATGGTGGATTAGATTTCGGAACAATTCGTGTTGGAGAAGAACAGAAACAGCAATGTACACTGAAAAACAGAGGCAAATATGAAATACAATATCAGTAAGTATTAAACACCAGGATCATTTCAAACACTGCATGGATACTTAACCTGCTGACCTAAACATTATACATAGTGGTCATTAGCAGTGATATTCACAGATCTAAAAAAAGATTACACACATTACTACTGCTTCTTGCTTTGTTTACAGATTGATTATACAGTTATATCCATTTCACTCAATTCCATCTTATTTACCCTATATATTACTGCATTTTTACATATTCGTTGTGTCAGCCTAAAATTATTTTTATAACATGGCAGACTTTTCCAAATTCACCATTAAACATTTCCAAATCAGCCATAAAAAAACACTGCAAAATTATAAGTAATACCCCGTACTCAACTTTTATCATTTCAATGCTTCACAGATTTGACTTGGAAGACTGCGACCCTGACAATCCGAGCGCCTCTAAGCTGTTCACTGTTATCCCACAGAAGGGTAGTTTGAGTCCCCTAGACAGACCAACCCAGGTTACAGTTTTGTTCAAGTCTATGAAGGAGGTCCATATCAAGGATCAGGCCATCCTCAAATGTCTCGTTATTGAGCCAAATGTGGCTGACGGAGGTGAGATCATTGCCAGTATCCCTGTCAAAGTGACAGTAAAGGCTGGCTTCAATAAGTACAATGTCTTACCCACAAATGATATCAACTTTGGCTCTATGATTGTCAACAGCAAGAAGACTCGCCAGTTTGTTATCCAAAACAAAGGGGAGTTTGACATGAAATACACCATTGTAAAGATGATCAAGGAAACCCAACAATCTCAGACTCGTCATGCTCGCCCGTAAGTAGCTCTCCCTATCTCAGACTCGTCATGCTCGCCCGTAAGTAACTCTCCCTCTCTCAGACTCGTCATTCTCGCCTGTAAGTAACTCTCCCTATCTCAGACTCGTCATGCTCGCCCGTAAGTAACTCTCCCTATCTCAGACTCGTCATGCTCGCACATAAGTAACTCTCCCTCTCTCAGACTCATCATGCCCACCCAAAAGTAACTCTCCCTCTCTCAGACTCGTCATGCTCGCCAGTAAGTAACTCCCCCTCTCTCAGACTCGTCATGCTCGCCCGTAAGTAACTCTCCCTCCTTCAGACTTGTCATGCTCGCCCATAAGTAACTCTCCCTATCTCAGACTCGTCATGCTCGCCCATAAGTAACTCTTCCTCTCTCAGACTCGTCATGCTCGCCTGTAAGTAGCTCTCCCTATCTCAGACTCGTCATGCTCGCCCTTAAGTAACTCTCCTTCTCTCAGACTTGTCATGCTCGCCCGTAAGTAACTCTCCCTATCTCAGACTCGTCATGCTCGCCTGTAAGTAACTCTCCCTATCTCAGACTCGTCATGAAATATTGTAACATGAAATTGTTTGCATTAATTGAATGCCTGTAGGAGAGATGTCTTTAGGTATCCTAATCTTATTTATCACTAATATAGATAAAAAGGAACAAATGTATGACAAAATATAAACATGACAACAATTTTAGTAATTGTGTGCATCTGCTTGAGCATGTCTAAAACAGCACAATATTCATGAGATGTTAATAAGAAGTTTAATAACTGAACTGTTAGCATCAGTTGTAATGAACTTTAACTGGTAGTAATTAACAACAAATGTATTACCATATACTGATAATAAGCTGCATATATTTAAGTATATAAAAGTGCAGTTTGTGCTGATTGTAACCAGTGTACAGATAATGTGTAGGCTGTACCTGTCTGCTGTTCCTCTATTGTAACCAGTGTACAGACATGTGTAGGCTGTACCTGTCTGCTGTTCCTCTATTGTAACCAGTGTACAGATAATGTGTAGGCTGTACCTGTCTGCTGTTCCTCTATTGTAACCAGTGTACAGATAATGTGTAGGCTGTACCTGTCTGCTGTTCCTCTATTGTAACCAGTGTACAGATAATGTGTAGGCTGTACCTGTCTGCTGTTCCTCTATTGTAACCAGTGTACAGATAATGTGTAGGCTGTACCTGTCTGCTGTTCCTCTATTGTAACCAGTGTACAGATAATGTGTAGGCTGTACCTGTCTGCTGTTCCTCTATTGTAACCAGTGTACAGATAATGTGTAGGCTGTACCTGTCTGCTGTTCCTCTATTGTAACCAGTGTACAGATAATGTGTAGGCTGTACCTGTCTGCTGTTCCTCTATTGTAACCAGTGTACAGATAATGTGTAGGCTGTACCTGTCTGCTGTTCCTCTATTGTAACCAGTGTACAGATAATGTGTAGGCTGTACCTGTCTGCTGTTCCTCTATTGTAACCAGTGTACAGACATGTGTAGGCTGTACCTGTCTGCTGTTCCTCTATTGTAACCAGTGTACAGATAATGTGTAGGCTGTACCTGTCTGCTGTTCCTCTATTGTAACCAGTGTACAGATAATGTGTAGGCTGTACCTGTCTGCTGTTCCTCTATTGTAACCAGTGTACAGATAATGTGTAGGCTGTACCTGTCTGCTGTTCCTCTATTGTAACCAGTGTACAGATAATGTGTAGGCTGTACCTGTCTGCTGTTCCTCTATTGTAACCAGTGTACAGATAATGTGTAGGCTGTACCTGTCTGCTGTTCCTCTATTGTAACCAGTGTACAGATAATGTGTAGGCTGTACCTGTCTGCTGTTCCTCTATTGTAACCAGTGTACAGATAATGTGTAGGCTGTACCTGTCTGCTGTTCCTCTATTGTAACCAGTGTACAGATAATGTGTAGGCTGTACCTGTCTGCTGTTCCTCTATTGTAACCAGTGTACAGATAATGTGTAGGCTGTACCTGTCTGCTGTTCCTCTATTGTAACCAGTGTACAGATAATGTGTAGGCTGTACCTGTCTGCTGTTCCTCTATTGTAACCAGTGTACAGATAATGTGTAGGCTGTACCTGTCTGCTGTTCCTCTATTGTAACCAGTGTACAGATAATGTGTAGGCTGTACCTGTCTGCTGTTCCTCTATTGTAACCAGTGTACAGATAATGTGTAGGCTGTACCTGTCTGCTGTTCCTCTATTGTAACCAGTGTACAGATAATGTGTAGGCTGTACCTGTCTGCTGTTCCTCTATTGTAACCAGTGTACAGATAATGTGTAGGCTGTACCTGTCTGCTGTTCCTCTATTGTAACCAGTGTACAGATAATGTGTAGGCTGTACCTGTCTGCTGTTCCTCTATTGTAACCAGTGTACAGATAATGTGTAGGCTGTACCTGTCTGCTGTTCCTCTATTGTAACCAGTGTACAGATAATGTGTAGGCTGTACCTGTCTGCTGTTCCTCTATTGTAACCAGTGTACAGATAATGTGTAGGCTGTACCTGTCTGCTGTTCCTCTATTGTAACCAGTGTACAGATAATGTGTAGGCTGTACCTGTCTGCTGTTCCTCTATTGTAACCAGTGTACAGATAATGTGTAGGCTGTACCTGTCTGCTGTTCCTCTATTGTAACCAGTGTACAGATAATGTGTAGGCTGTACCTGTCTGCTGTTCCTCTATTGTAACCAGTGTACAGATAATGTGTAGGCTGTACCTGTCTGCTGTTCCTCTATTGTAACCAGTGTACAGACATGTGTAGGCTGTACCTGTCTGCTGTTCCTCTATTGTAACCAGTGTACAGATAATGTGTAGGCTGTACCTGTCTGCTGTTCCTCTATTGTAACCAGTGTACAGATAATGTGTAGGCTGTACCTGTCTGCTGTTCCTCTATTGTAACCAGTGTACAGATAATGTGTAGGCTGTACCTGTCTGCTGTTCCTCTATTGTAACCAGTGTACAGATAATGTGTAGGCTGTACCTGTCTGCTGTTCCTCTATTGTAACCAGTGTACAGATAATGTGTAGGCTGTACCTGTCTGCTGTTCCTCTATTGTAACCAGTGTACAGATAATGTGTAGGCTGTACCTGTCTGCTGTTCCTCTATTGTAACCAGTGTACAGATAATGTGTAGGCTGTACCTGTCTGCTGTTCCTCTATTGTAACCAGTGTACAGATAATGTGTAGGCTGTACCTGTCTGCTGTTCCTCTATTGTAACCAGTGTACAGATAATGTGTAGGCTGTACCTGTCTGCTGTTCCTCTATTGTAACCAGTGTACAGATAATGTGTAGGCTGTACCTGTCTGCTGTTCCTCTATTGTAACCAGTGTACAGATAATGTGTAGGCTGTACCTGTCTGCTGTTCCTCTATTGTAACCAGTGTACAGACATGTGTAGGCTGTACCTGTCTGCTGTTCCTCTAAACTAAATAAAGGAGGTGGTGAGCAGGCGGACATTTTAAAACAAAATGATTTTATTTCTGAAAACAAATAAAAGCATATTTGTTTTTTATTAAAGTACCATATCCAATAGTCCCCTCACTCCCAAAATGTCCTACACTTTCAGTGTTGTACTCTATTAACTTATCCATTCCAAAAATAACATACTATTACAGTGTTATATCATCCCCTCCCACAATAATATACCCTTAAAGTGTTATATCATCCCCTCCCACAATAATATACCCTTAAAGTGTTATATCATCCCCTCCCACAATAATATACCCTTAAAGTGTTATATCATCCCCTCCCACAATAATATACCCTTAAAGTGTTATATCATCCCCTCCCACAATAATATACCCTTAAAGTGTTATATCATCCCCTCCCACAATAACTACTATTACAGTGTTATATCATCCCCTCCCACAAACACATACTATTACAGTGTTGTATCATCCCCTCCCTCCCACAATAACATTCCCTTACAGTGTTATATCATCCCCTCCCACAAACACATACTATTACAGTGTTGTATCATCCCCTCCCTCCCACAATAACACTGTAATAGTATGTTATTGTGGGAGGGGATGCTATAACACTGTAATAGTATGTTATTTTTGGAATGGATAAGTTAATAGAGTACAACACTGAGGTTGATGGTGGAGATTGTGGCATTGTTATATTTCGGTTGATGGTGGAGATTGTGGGAGGGAGGGGATGATAAAACACAATAACATACTATTACAGTGTTTTATCATCCCCTCCCTCCCCCAATAACATACTATTACAGTGTTATATCCTCCCCTCCCACAATAACATACTATTACACTGTTATATCATCCCCTCCCACAATAACTACTATTACAGTGTTATATCATCCCCTCCCACAAACACATACTATTACAGTGTTGTATCATCCCCTCCCTCCCACAATAACAAACTATTACAGTGTTACATCAACCCCTCCCACAATAACATTCTATTACAGTGTTATATCATCCCCTCCCACAAACACATACTATTACAGTGTTGTATCATCCCCTCCCTCCCACAATAACACTGTAATAGTATGTTATTGTGGGAGCGGATGATATCACACTGTAATAGTATGTTATTGTGGGAGCGGATGATATAACACTGTAATAGTATGTTATTCTGGGAGGGAGGGGATGATAAAACACTGTACTAGTATGTTATTGTGCGAGGGGATGATATAACAGTGTAATAGTATGTTATTGTGGGAGCGGATGATATAACACTGTAATAGTATGTTATTCTGGGAGGGAGGGGATGATAAAACACTGTACTAGTATGTTATTGTGCGAGGGGATGATATAACAGTGTAATAGTATGTTATTGTGGGAGCGGATGATATCACACTGTAATAGTATGTTATTGTGGGAGCGGATGATATCACACTGTAATAGTATGTTATTGTGGGAGGGAGGGGATGATAAAACACAATAACATACTATTACAGTGTTTTATCATCCCCTCCCTCCCCCAATAACATACTATTACAGTGTTATATCACCCCCTCCCACAATAACATACTATTACAGGGTTATATCATCCCCGCCCACAATAACATACTATTACAGTGTTATTGTGGGAGGGAGGGGATGATATAACACTGTAATAGAATGTTATTGTGGGAGGGGATGATATAAAACTGTAATAGTATGTTATTGTGGGAGGGAGGGGATGATATAACACTGTAAGGGTATGTTATTGTGGGAGGGGATGATATATCTCTGTAATAGTATGTTATTGTAGGAGGGAGGGGATGATATAACACTGTAAGGGAATGTTATTGTGGGAGGGAGGGGATGATATAACACTGTAAGGGAATGTTATTGTGGGAGGGAGGGGATGATAAAACACAATAACATACTATTACAGTGTTTTATCATCCCCTCCCTCCCGCAATAACATACTATTACAGTGTTATATCCTCCCCTCCCACAATAACATACTATTACAGTGTTATATCATCCCCTCCCACAATAACATACTATTACACTGTTATATCATCCCCTCCCACAATAACATACTATTACAGTGTTTTATCATCCCCTCCCTCCCACAATAACATACTATTACAGTGTTATATCATCCCCTCCCACAATAACATACTATTACAGTGTTATATCATCCCCTCCCTCCCACAATAACATACTATTACAGTCTGTTAATTGTTACACCTTAATTTCACCATTGTATTTGTCATTGTATAAGCTTTGTCAGCTTGTTGTGCCATTTTCCACACCATCATCATACAGTCCTGATGGTAATAGTAGATAACAATGCCCCTCTCTGGAGTTTTATATGAACTCAATGCTTAATTTTAATGTTGTTTCATTTCTGTGAATTTTTTTTATTCAAAAACATGTAAACATAAGCTTTGAATTGCTTTAAGTTGGTATTTGTAGTCAATATAAATACCAACTTAAAGCTACATATTCGCCACGAAGCACAAGCAGCTCAATGCTGATGCAGTTAAACACCTTTCATTATTGATGTATTTTAATCGTTGAGGATTGAACTGTATAACCTGCACAGCCTCTGTCTGCCACTTACTACTTCATTACTGACTTATGTATACCCTCTATCACCATCAGCCCTATTAAGGACAATAAGCGGAGTAAGTCAAGGGATGGCTCTAGCTCCGGGCGGTCAGTCGCCAGACCAAAGAAGGCCGATTCGGTGAGGTAGGTGTGTCACCTGACACTGATGTCTCCCCGGTCATAACTAGCACGTCCAGGACACTCGTACAATATCCTGTTTGTGTTTGTAATCCTGCTGTGTAGTGTATATGTGACTCCTGTTGTGTAGTATATGTGTGATACCTGGCCTGTTGTGAAGTGTATATGTTATCCCTGGCCTGTTGTGAAGTGTATATGTGACTCCTGTTGTGTAGTATATGTGTGATACCTGGCCTGTTGTGAAGTGTATATGTTATCCCTGGCCTGTTGTGAAGTGTATATGTGACTCCTGTTGTGTAGTATATGTGTGATACCTGGCCTGTTGTGAAGTGTATATGTGATCCCTGGCCTGTTGTGAAGTGTATATGTGA